CCGGGTCGCGCGGACGGAGAGCGCCGCTGTACCGTCTCGTTCGTAGAGGAAGCGCGATGCGGTGCATAGAGAGGTTCGTTATCCTCGATAAACGTAAACGTAAACGTGAACCTGTCGAACGCAGGCAACTGCCCCTGTGCCAGCGGAACGCACTGTCGTGGGGTCAGCGAGCGTCATCGGGGGAGGGCCCCACGCTCTCGAGCCACCCGCCACCCATCAGCAGCGTCCGGAGAACGCACTCGACGCTTTGTTAGACGAGCTGCAAACGTTCTCGAGGCCGAGCTCGCAACTCGGTCACGTGGCAGCGCAGACTTCGAGCAGGGGAGAGGCGCCGGGAGCGGTGACGACGAGCGTCGGGACGCCGGCACGAGCGCCGTGCATCTCGGACATCGGAAGAAAAGGAAGCGTGGACTCGTCGAGCGGAACCGTGGTAGCGCTCGCGCCTGCCGGTCCACCGACCAACACCGGAGGGACTCTGCGCCGACTGCACTCGTATCCGTCTAGCTCGGACACGGACACCTCGCCGCCGATAGCGAGACTTCAGGTCTCGCTGCAGGATCAGCAGCCGAGCCTGCCCACGCTGCCGCAAGGATTCGTGCCGGGTCAGAAACCGCCGGTGCCGGAACGAAACGCGGAGTTGCTGCAACTCGCCACCGCCAGACGGGTTCCGCCGCCTCCGCCACCGCGTACCAGTTCCAGATCCCCGTTGGCTAGCCCCACCAGCCCTCAGCTACCACCTAGAAATCACTCTTGCAACTTGCAGACCGGAAACGCGACGCTGCGAAGACCACCGGCTCGCGGCACCAGCCGATCAAGGAGGGCAAACCACCGATGGCGCTGCCGGCCGAAGCCGTGGTTCCCGCGTTGGAAACGGGACCGACGTTGTTGCACAACAACGGATCATCCACCTCGCAGTCCTCGGCGGTGTTGTCCACCAGCAATTCGAGTTCCTGCGAGAGCGTGAACTCGCAGGAAGGCTTGCAGAGCAAGAAGGGTAGACAGGAGCAGCTGGAACAACGACACCAGGAGCTGTTGCGCAAACAGAAAGCTCTGCAGGAACAGTACGCGCGGCTTCAGCAGCTACAGAGAAACACGGCCGGCCTGACGACCGTGCCGCCCGCGCCACCGGATCTCTTGAAGAAGACGGGCTCCGAGAGCAACCTGTTGGCCAAGATGGGCCTCGGACTGAGCGCCGCCAGTTCCGGATCTTTGACCAGCCTCGCGGCAAAACCGATCACCGCGGTATCTCAGGAGAGTTCCGTGGACGGTGCACATCGATCGCGACCGGAACAATCCGGCGAACAATCGCGTAATACCG